GGGGGGGGAACGGGGGGGAGGGCGTCCGCGAAGGAGATTGGACGACAGGGAGTATCCTCCGGATTCGATGAACAAGGACAAGACTTGATACTGTAGCACCATGTTTGGGGGCTGAGGGGGGGGTGGAGGGGCGCAACGGCAAAATAGAACAGCTAAGGAGACTGCGAGGCTTTCATCCAGAAGGTGTTGCAGGCTAGTGCTGCACGGAACTGACCCACTCAACTCAGCCACAGGCTGCTGATATTTTACCGAGTTCTTTTTTTTTCTTCTCGTCCCATCTAAGGTGCCAGCTACACTGCACACCTTCTTGACACACAAAAATAGCCCGTAGTCACACAGAGGGAAATCTCCATCATTATTTCTACCGTGCTTGCCTTGACAATTTCCAGCGAGAGACATCAGGTATCATAATCCCTTTCCTTCATATGCAAGACTGTTTTAGTCGGGATGTCGTGCTTCTCCAAGTCTAGACTACTTGCATTCACGAGGTGTCCACAAGACATGAATTGAACACTGCTGGGTAACCCGCGGGCTTGTGGCTGCGAAAGCTGGGAGAGGTCACGTGCGTGCTTCTTGTGGTTCATCAGGCCGGAGGGCGTCGCTGAACACTGCTATTGTTACATCCGACCCAAGTCTTCCGGCGTTGAGTAAATGTGGTATGTGCAGGTAATTGCAGCAAATAGTTTGAACACGACGGTCACCAGTGGATTTTACCATACTGCACATCATTGCGTAAGACACATTGTCGAAGCAGTCATAGCAATGCACCAGTGAGAAAGGGATTTTGCACAAAAGGGATGCATGCTGTCGAAGCAGGGCAGACAGCAGATAAAATAGCTGGCTGCATTTTTCTTGTGTGTAGAATCAAGCAAGTCAAAACGAATATCGTTGAATATCACCCCCTTCGCTTTGCAGGTTGGGATGGGTCGCACACACCTTTTGCAACCTGCTCTTCTTCTGCTTGCCGACGACGAAGGCCTTGAGCTTCTTGTCCGTGATGGTCTCCTTCGCCCCCGGCTTGAGCCCGCCGATCTTCATGCCCCACGGCATCCTCTTCCCTGGATCCGCCATCCTCGGTGCTGTGACCCCCGTCTACGCCCCTCCTGCTAAATAGACACCACACCTGAATGAGGTTGATCCTGTCTGTCCTCCACGTGCTGAAGCTGAGTCTCTCTTGACGTTGCCTTGTCCGGGCGGTATCGGAAGGGTCGTGACCACAAGGGAATAAAAGTCCCTCCCGTTTCCTCCTGTCTGCTCTATTCCGTACTATCCGTAGGCACACACCGAGCGGGTCGCCTTGTTGTCACTCTCTCGTGCCTCCAGAGCATCCCCCTTTTCCTTAGGGAGTTGTTACTGTGTTGGATGCTTTGTTATTGAGCGAGATCGCTCCACACTCTGGTACACTGGTATGTGCTGGCTATTGCTACGAGAGAGCTAGCAAACATCACTGCTGAACCTTGAACCAAGGCCAAGAAGCACAGAGGAGGAAGTAGCCGAAGAGCTGGAGCCAACCTCTCCAGTAACAGCGTCTCGTCTTTGGCGTGTGCTGCCCACTGCTTGTGTGGTGTTACTTGCAGTCGGAAATCAACACAGCGTTCCCGGGGCTGCAACAACAGACAGAGCGAACAAGCACAGCAGCTGCAGTACTTCATTAGTGGGGGTGGAACGCGATGCGGAGAGAGAAGAGGAGACGTCAAGGGGTCGGGCCGTGCGGTGCCGCCCTTTTGCTGGTGGCGTCCCTGGTGCCGCACTCGCTGGCTGCTGGTGGCTTCCAGGTGTGACAGCAACAACAAGGCGTGTGTTTGTTGTTGACTGCTGTAGACTATATTTTGAAAAAATATTGATTGCAACAACTCAGCAAAGCTCCGCTATGACCCAGACACGAGAGGGACACAACGCTGCCTCACGTACTCGGCTGCTGGTCGGTGGCTCCTCCGATCATTAGTCAACAGGTGGACGAGCACGCTCAGCAGTATGGCCATCTTACAAGAGGACCGCCGCGGCACAATAACGCGAACGACGTGCAAGACAACTACAAACCACTCCCCACAGCGAGACAGCTCACGCCCGCTGTTCGCTCCGCGCGCCGCGTGGCTTCGCTACCGAGAAACTGCCCGCGCCCGCCACCCCATCCCTTGCCGTTCGTTCTGCGAACGATTTCTCTCCCAGCAAAGCAAACCCACGTTTTGCTCTGAAAGAAATGCAGGAGGAAACCGATGAAAGGATGCGTGCAGTGAAAACCTTGTCCTTGTCATTTTTTCAGTTTTGGGAACGCCCGCAAAGTGCAGCAGTAGCAGTACTGGTAATTGTGTCGTTTGTCACGAGGACTGCGCCACCCGCCACGAGACGGCGTTGCAGGAGATGAACGCCATTTCGCGTGCACTCAGCAGATCATCACGATTCTAACCTTCTGTGTGTGTGCTGTTGCTGTACACCATGTAGAACACATGCTCGACGGCCGGCATGGTCTACCGCCGTCCAGAGCGTGCAATGATATGATAGTACATGTGAGACCGCTACACACCAGGGGCCTGCCTGCCCTCTCTGTTCACCGAGGGCTTTGTTGCACCCCACGCGGCCGTTCGCAAGCTCGTGACACCGAACCAACTATGTTAGCGCTTTTGGCTCATCCCCATTCCGCTGCCGCAGGGCAGTCACGGCGGCAACGCGCCGCCCAGACCACCGTCATCAAGCAGGGGCGCCGCTGGTTCACCCGCGGACCGCGAAGCCGGGGGGGGGGGGGGGGGGGGGNGGGGGGAGGGGGAGGAGGGCAGTTTCATCTCTCGACGAATGTAGCAGAAACGCTGCGGGAGAGAAGGAGCGGCGGCGGCGGCGGCGGCGGCGGGAGAGCTGGGGGAGGAGGGGGACAAGGGCACCAGGGTGATCCTGCGTTCCCGGCTGCTGGAGACGCGCGGAGGAAGGCGTTCTTGGGAGCGGGGACGGTGCAAGCGGACAGGCGCGCGGCGGCGCTGGAGCCCCAGGCGGGCGCCGGGGGGGGGGCAGGGGGGGCGGCGTTCGACCCTCAGCGATATCGACAGCAGCAAGCACAGCGACGGTACGCCTTGCAAGGTGAGCATGACGAGCAGAGGGTTGGATATTGGCCTAGGGGTCTCTCTCTCCCCCACGTGTCCTTGGCAAATGATGGTTAATGTTGACGTTGTGTGGTGGTGGTGATGGTTCTCGTGCAGTCACGGGGGCCGCCCCCTATTTCACGCTCCGCTTACACCACTTACGGGCGTTTTTCGAATGTTTGCCCCTAACAATCTAAATTTCGTTGCTTTCTTGTTTGCCTAACACACTACACCTTCCGCGCGGCAAATAACACGTCGCTGTCACGCTCTCCAGAGCCGTGGGACAGCAGCAACAACAGCCACGACCAAGGCAACGACAATAGAGACGAGGAAGGGGCGACGGGGGCGGCAATGGGGGTTCCGGAAATGGTATCGGAGGGGGCGCCGGCGTCAACTCCCCCCCCGAGAACCCCCCTACAGGAACACGCTTTCCAGAACATGTACCGGAATCAGCGCACCCAGGTGCGCACTGTTGACTCGAAAATCTCCCATTATAGCAGTAGAGCGCACTGTTGACACGAAAAATCTTCCGCTACAGCGGTACAGCACACAGTAGTGCACATGCATGATTTTATCCAGGCCAGTTTACGGGGGGGGGGGGTCGTTTTTTTTTTTTATGGAAGGAGGAGGGGGTCAAAATCTACAGCCGGTTGGACAAGTTTTCGTGTTTATCGCTTTTGAGAACCGGTAAATTTGTTGATGTTCATAGACAAGAATGTACACGACACCACGAACAGACTGCCTAGAATACCTCAATGAGATTGTGCTCGGAAGGGAGGTGGTGAATAGGTTTCTTGACAGCAGTTAGGGTCGAGCGTCCAGACACCTGCTGGATGATGCTGGAGTGGTAATGCCGTCATCATCGGACGGAGCGTGGTGTTTGTTCTGGCGGGAGAGTTGGCACGCACCGCCTCTGCTCGCCGTCCGTGCGAAAGAAAGGTGTCACGAACGATAAGGTTTCGTTGCGATCTCCCACGGAGATGACCCCCCTGTGTTTTTCAAAAGAAAATACAACTGCTGTCACATGCATACTGTCCGACAGCAACAATCGACCATGTTTTCAAAATATCTATATATTATTTACCAAAGTGTCAGATGCTCACAACAGCAGTCGCAAATGTTTCACAAGCATTTTTTGTCAAGATCACTTGTCACATGCATCCGACAATGACCATGTTTACAAGTACGAACATTTTTTTTTTGGCCGTCAGCTTCCCGGGCAAGCAGTGGGAACACAGCAGCCGTCGTCGACCCTGTTTCGGAGGTCCGGGGCGGGAGGCGTTTTCTTCATCTTCCTCGTCATGGTGTGCAGGTCCCTCAACCATTACGAGTACGCCGAGCAGATGGCGGGGGCCCTCAGGTAGGGAGTGGGGCGGGTGACAGTTGCGCTGCAAAGAAAATACAAGTACAAATCATATCATTCCCTTTTGCCTCTTGGCGCACAGCAGAGAGTGGTGAAACCTTTTGCCTGTAAGCATGCATTAAGAAGGAACAACCCTTTCCCTCTCGAGGCGCAATGCAGTGAGTGGTGAAAATTGTCGATCACCCCCCGTCCCCCTCCCGTTAGCAGGGGACAGGGTGATTGAAGGGTGGGAGTCCATCGTGAACGCAACGGCAGAGAGAGTAGTGGGAACGAAGGTGGTACGATGTGGGGTATCGGTTAAGTGGTGGGATGACGAGCTGAAAGAAGAAATAGGGGAACGTAGA